AACCCTACCCTGTAGCTTTGGGGAAAAACTCTAATATAAAAAACATCTCAGATATTTTTTTTACCCTGTAAGTCGGGTTGGGGGGCCTCAAAAAGCATTTTAAAAAGGGACAATCCTTATAAAACAAAAATTATACCTTAGAAAAACCTGAAAGTGATTCATTTATATTAACTGCGGTATCAGCTTTACACACATGGCGACTTTCGGGTGTTTGGTATCGAAGTGAAAATTGTTGTTGAATTTTTTTAGATAGTGACCTGAAACCGCCAAAAAGTATGTCTGACTCGTATGTTTCTGCCCCTAAACTTGATGTTGATAAAACATTTGAATCAAGTGATGACACTAATTCTGTTGATACTGATGCAGGATTTAGTGTTACTAGTAATAGTGGGAATCAGATTGGGACGCTGTTGTGTTCAGATCACAGCCCAACCATGGCTCTAGGTATATCCACCCGAAGGTGTTGAAACTCCGGCACATCCATTTCTAGTGCTGACTGATGGTGAAAACACATGTCACCTAAAGATATTATTGCTGTTTCACAAATATATACCTGTTTTTGACTATTGAATTGCTTACAACATTTGCAAAAAGGCCAAAGATCAATAAAAAGATTTCAAATAAAAAAATTTTTTGTTTTTAGTTTTATGTTTCAAGCATTGAAGTTGAAAATTCAAATTCATATTTTCTATTTTTAGATATGCAAATGAGATAATTTGCATATACATCAATTAATTTTAACGATATTGTGAAAATCATGAACATCAATCTATATCCTTCAAATAGATATATTATTTCATGGGGGTCAGAATAACAGAAATCTGTCAAAAAAATTAAAGTAATAACCAAATTCACTGAAAAAATGCTCCGTGTTTTTGGCTAGACCTCTGAAAAACTTCCCGTGCTAAAAGGGTTAAACATCCTAACCTACACAGTCAGTGGCGACAGCATTTGCCATGCAGCCTTAGGCTCATTACCCTTCACCCCCCCCCCCACAAAGTGGTAAATACAAACAGTAGTGACAGTAAGACAAATAAAGCAGCAAATTAACTGTATTCATCTCCTTTGGCCAACAAAAAACTAGGTTCTTCATACAGCCATGATGTACAAAACGACACCACAATGACTTTAGAACAGGATTTTTTGTCGCCCAAGAAAATACGTCAGTTTTTGTACAAAACAATCATATCTGGCCTCTACACACTATGCAGCTGCAAATAATACCAAATCTGTTATATAGGCAAACAGGTGAATGCCCAAAGCTGCAATGCCAAGAAAAAATATGAGACGCTGCCATACAGGCATGTTCAGGGCAGCAGGGTTATTGCTGTCTTTCTATTAGATTAATCTGGTAAGTTTTTAAATTGTTATTATAATGATAAGAACACACATACAGGTTTCTTTTCTCTGCATCTTTCTTTCCCATACAAATGTTCTAAAGTTGCATCTCCAACAGCAAGTGCAGTTCCAATTCCCATAGCATCAGTAAGAGTGATTGTATACAAGTCGAGCCTTTTCCTGCGTGCTGAGGGCTGACCAGAATCCCTGGCTGTTCCTGGCAGCGCCATTCTTCTCAGACCATAATGATCTGTTTGTGCCTCTGCACTAAGAAAAGACACTTACAAGCTGTTGGAAATTGACATGTAACCACCCACTATGTCAACTGCTAAAGGTGTTTGACATTTACAAAGAACAGAAATAATATTTTGGATGTTTACACAAACTGTTGGGGAGTTGCCGTGGTGAAGCGGCTAGATGCTCGTCTGCAAATCGAAAGGTCGTGGGTTCGTTCCCTCGTGGAGCCGTGACTTTCTTCAAAAATGACCTTGGCTCCCAGGCTGACCCAGCCTTGAGTGGGTACCGGGTGCCTCCCGGGAAGTAAAGGCAGTCGGCATGATACTGACCACATCCCCCATCTTGTGCCGATTGGTCTATAAAATATAGGTCTAGCCCTATTTGTCTAAAGGAAAAGGACCCTTTACTTGTATTTGTTTGTTTTTTTTACACAAACTGTTCATAAACACAATCAAACTGGATAAGGCTTTCCTAAAAATCAAGTAACTGACGTACCTAAGAGGTGGTAGTTTGAATCTCTCTCATATTTGAATGTAAGGCGGCCATAACTGACATGGTTGAGGTTTTTCAACCACTCAAAATATGAAACAGTGACACCACCGGCATTCACAAATAAATCCTGTTGACAAAACAAATAATAATCAATATGATTCATTACACAAGATGATACTTTATCAATGAACTCTCCTCCACCTTCAGTTGTAAACTCCAGCAGAGTCTTCTGGCTGTATATTGACTTGGTCTTGTATTTTGTGGGCATATCTGTTTTACGGATCTGGCTTATTTGTATACTAATCCCAGGACATTCTGAAGTGCAGGAATAAGCAGGCTGATAGATTGGCTTGCTTCTGTTCCTCTGAGTGGTGAGCTACTATTCTATTGAGCAGACATGGTGAAGGGTCTCTAGGATCAAATTAACAATGCAGCACAACAAACACAGCATTCATACTTCAAAAGACCGACTTACCCGTGTGGGTTCTGGGGCCCCATTGTGGGGGAAAACAAGAAGAGACCCACTGCCCACCCAAAAGCATCTCTTAAGAGTTGACTAATAGGCAGTTTCCTTTAAAGTCAGAGTGCATCTGCCTGAACGGCAAAGAACCAACAATCTGCACACAAATGCATAAGATATGTAAAACAGATGTGCATGAAACACTCAGGTTCTGGAACAGGGCTGCAGTTCAGAAGTGGACAAACAAGCAGAACTTCCCGCAAGAGTTTACAGCTGGTGAACATCAAGAAGATGAAGAAAAAGACCGATTCTGCAGGTAGTCAGCAGAGGATCTGAATTATTTCCATCATACAGAAGAAAAGACATGTGGCTTTTGTTGATTAGGTTGCAGTTGGCACTATGGGTACATCGGGCACATCATCCTTACCCACACAGGTCTACAGGTTACACCTAGCTGGTGTAACTATTATAGGTGCCTTAATTATAACTTCTTTGAAAGTTGACAGGTATCTGAGATTTGCCGTTGGTCTGCCGTCCAAACAGATTTTAGAATCTCAGTATGGAATGGCAAATCTTAAAGTAGCAGCCGGGATGGGAGCTGAGTTGAGATGAGTCAAGAATTGACACCACTGCATTTGGGCCATTCCCATGCATGCTCCGTCCTCATCTTCAGCAGCCAACACAAAGTTCCAATACTGTTGGTACAGGTCACAATCTGGTTATATGTCCGTCTTGCCTTTCCTCTGAGGGTAGTGAGCCGGCCAGACCCTCTGGTTACACCCAGGTGCCTCATTCTCTCCAGGCCATAATAATCGTATTTCTCTAATGATTCCATCGCTTGTTCCCAAAAGGGCCTTGACCACATCTGCCTTGTTATGTATCATTTCCCCCTCCCCCTTTTCCAGTGATGCAGATCCAGCCAGTTTGTCTTCCTGTTTATTACCCACCACGTCGGCATGGCCTGGAGAGAAGATCCAAAGTATGCTCACTACCCGTGACCTTTCCAGTGAAGCTTGCCCTCTGCCGAGATGGGAAAAACTGATCTATCGATTGAACGATCAGTATTGAACCTTTTCCTCAGCTACAATGCCAGTGTGTTGGGAAACAAGCAGGCAGATAGACTGGCCGGTTCTGCACCACTTGGTGGTGAACTGATGTATGACAAGTTAGATGTTGTGAGGGCCCTTAGGGAATGACTGAACAGTGAGGAGGCACAGATAGATCTTTACGGCCTGAGCAGAATGGCGCTGCGAGGAGTTACCTGAGGATCTGGCCGATGCTCATCCCTCAAGGGAAAGGTGAGATGGATATACTATCAGACAGTTACTGGTGCCACCAGAATTGGAACTCTTTGCTGGCTGCTGAAGATGGGGATGGAGCGCTTATGGGAGTGTCCTGAGTGCTGTGATGTTGATTCCTAATTCAACATTCAACAATAAGGAAGAAGGTAAAGCACACAGGGTGTGGAATGATAATAATTCATGATTTATTCAATTATGAAGGATACAGTAATAATCACTTATGTTTTGCACTAGAAGTATTACAATTTTAGTTACAAGTCTTTCAGAAACACAAGTAAAGCAGTGGACCCTTTGACATTCATATTAGTCGTCCCCCTGTGGGATGCAATTTTTTTGTTATTTGAAGCCCCAACCTGGCTTTAACCGGGAGCCCTGAATATAGCCGGGCCATGGGCCTCAGGGCTGAAAGGGGTTTCTGGGATCTCTCCACAGGTGATCCTCATCCGCATGGTGGCACTTTGTGTCACCGGGTGTTTATCGCTTGTGTGATGTCTTGGTGAGGTACAACTACCTACCTACCTACCCTCTCCCATGCCAAAAGTGATTATATGGTACAAGACTAAAAGTCAATGGTTAAGCACCAGCAAGGAGATCAAAATTAGAATTTTGAGAGCATGCATCTTCCCTGTGGCTACATACGGATGTGAGTCGTGGACTATCTGTCAGTCCTTAAAAAGAGAATAGGTGCTTTTGAGCCAAAATGCTATAGAAAGATTCTCAGAATATTTTGGACAAAGAAGATGAGAAATATTGACATCTTAAAAGTTCTGAACATCAAGGAAGATTGGCTAATAAACAGCATCCTTTCTCGAAAGCTGAAATATTTTGGTCATATCAAGCGCCATGATGGATTGGAAAAAATTATAGTAGAAGGCATGGTACCAGGAAGGAGGGGCAGGGCCGACAGACACGAAGATGGGAACAGGACATAAGTGACTCCTTGAGTGTGAAAGTATATGAGGCGGGAGAACTGGTGAGAGACAGAGTTTCTTTCAGGCAGACTGTGATGAGAGCGACATTCTGCAAAGGACCTGCTACATGATGATGATGATGAGCTTATGAGAATGGTCCAAGGGCTATGATACCACTGCTTAACTCAACTCAACTGTTTTGATAAAATAATTATGTCTTTGATATTCCACAGTAATATTTGTACTGGTAATCTGTTAACCCAAAAAATGTCTAAACATGATTGGATAAATATTTTTGTCACATATCTGTAAGGCAAACTCAGAGGAACTGTGATTAAAAACTATCAGATTCTAGCAGTCAATCATTACTCACTCAATTATTAATCAAAAATATAACTAACAATTAAACACATTATATCATATATTCTTTCTTGCCTAAAGGATCAATTTCTTAGACCTTCAACTCAGACCTAACAAAAAGAAATTATATATAAAGCCAAATATCATAAACTAATAAAATTACTAACAACTGTATGAAAGGTGCCTTAAACATCACATGAAGATCAATACTGAAAATACAGAAGTCATAAGAATAAGCAGAGAGCAACAAACCATTGACATAAAGATCAAAGTCTGAAACAAGTGCAAGAATTTAAATACTTGGGAAGCATCTTTATACACAACAGTAAGATAGAGAGATAGAAACAAGAATCCAACAAGCCAACAATGTCACGTGCCAACTTGCTCCAATTTTTAAACACCCAGCTATCCCAAAAAGACAAATTATAAATACAATATTTATATCGACTTTAGGTTACCAATGTCAGACTTGGACATTGACAAAAGAACACTAAAGAAAATTAACCACCTGGGAGATGAGATGTTTCAGAATGGCTGTAAATAAAACCAGAAGAGAATGAGTGAGAAACAACGCGATCACAAGAACTGTTGGAACAACACCCACCGTTATATTTATTGAGAATCAAAGAATGAAATGATTTGGTCTCTAATGAGAATAAAACCAACAATGCCAGCAGCAAAAGCGTGGAACCTGAAAATCGAAACATCAAGAGGCAGGGGAAGACCGAGAAAAATATGGATTGAAGGAATCACTGACACCTTGAGACTGCATGACATCATGGCATATCAAGCAACTGAGCAAGCCCTGGCTCAGCTGCCAATCATCTGATGAACTGTGACACCTAGCAGTGTAAGCAAATATTGACAAAAGAAGAAAAGAACTTACAGATGTAAGAACATTTAAAAAACAAAAATTAACAGAGTTAACTTACCGGAATAATAAGAACATTCTTCTTGAGCAAAATATTGTCTGCAGCCATCGTAGTAGGGCCATTTGCACCTTCAGCAATAATCTATAGACACAATTATATATATGTACATGTACATATATATATAAATATATATAAAAAGGGGCCGGTACCCACCACAAATTGTCTGTCATCAGATATGTAATGCAAAACAGTTAAAGTAAAGATAGTCCCCCCATTCACAGAGTGATACACACTACCTCACTTCTAACTGGTCGACCTTCAGCCTAGTTCACTTCTGATTGGTTGACCTTAAGCCATCCAACCTCTACACACATTGACGGGGGTGTTCCGCAATGCCCTTGACATCGCATATTGTATATTTCAGCACGCCACAGCTTTTAATACTAAAAAAAAAAAAATTTACATACTGGGTTTAACACACAACTCCCCCCCCCCCTTCCCCAGAGGGGGCTCAAACCTAAGTCACAGGCAGTCTCTTTCTCGGAATAAAAACGCAAATGCGAGACAACACAGATAGCAAACAACAGAGCAGCGCACCCGTAACCCCCCTAGCAGGTAGGATCAGTTCAAGAAAGTTATCAATGGAAGTGGCCTACTTTCTGTGGCGAGACTAACTGTTTCACCTGCAAAACTTATATTTTTGTAAACTAACAAACATTTGGGTGAGTGGTCTGGTTGACATTATATCAAACTTCTTTGCTTCACAGAACAGCACCCATGTTAGGCTGGGTCGACCTAGAAGCCAAGGTCAATTGTAAAACAAATCCGCATCAATGCAGATTCAGACCTGAGGCCTGCCGGCTGGCAGAGAAATGTCTAGCCACTACACCACTGCAGCTCCCCAGCCCAGACGTCAGATCTACAAATACAGTTGTCTCAAAATATGTTTATGGGATTAGAAGTATCACTACTCCCTGTATTTACCACTTTTGCTGTGTAGGTGGGGGGTGAGGGAGGGGGTGGGGTCATTGAGCCTGAGGATTTAGGAATTTTATTTTCGCTTCCGATAGAAAAAACTGCCCAACCTTACCGAGGATTTAAACCCGCGTCTCCTGCACGAGAACCCTGCACCGGTACTATTTATTTAAATCTCAAACAAAGTAGTAACTTCCAGGTTCAGAAAGAGTTCAGCAATTGTGAGAAATCTACCTCTCTTCTCAAGAGAGGTATGGAATTAGAACTGACAAAAAACTGCCATTACAGCGTGTTTTTATCACTTTTGCTGTTTATGTAGAGACTGAGCATTTAGGAACCCATGGTTAGTGCAGTTACCATATACTGCCAGGTTAGCATTTTATTTTTGGCCTCGACAGAAAGAAAAAAGCCAACTTTTAACCAGGACTTGAACCTGGATCTCCTAAATGAGTTGCATTCGGCCAGTCATTCTGGTGCTTTATTAATATCTTACCCCTATCAGGGGAAATCCACAGGTCATGGGACAGTCTAATATTTCAGGGGGTGGTAGATAGGCTGCATGCAGTCGTGGGACCTAGGCTGCACTCTCTTGTGGGACGTTGGTGGGTTGGGGTTAGGACCAGTTGTAGATGTTTTGGGGTTGTTAAAAGCATCAGAAAACCGGCAAACTTAGTCTTACCACCTTCTAAAATGTTGGACTGTCCCGTGACGTCTGGGGTAAGATAATAAAGCACCATCTTTCTTTTAGGATTAGAACACCTGAACTTTTTTTTTTTTAAATCTTAAACATAAAGCAGTATTTTCCTGGCACAGAAGAGTTCAGAAATACCTTGGCCTGGATGCGGTCAGCATTATCCTTGTGAATCTGCTTCTCACTGGCAGCTGGTACCAAGATATCACACTTCTCAAACAGAAGGTCATCATAATAGGGCTCAGCATTGGGGAAACCCACAATCGTTCCATTTTCCTGAAACATAATATCATAAAGGTAAAGTTAAAGTCGAGAGATGTGAACCAGCATCACTGCACACGATTATAAACCCTAAGTGCTCTGCCACCAGTACGGACAGATGATAAGAAACTCCACCTGTGTTGCCGTCCACACACAACTCTGTAGCTACAGCGACGTTCCTCCATTTACTTCAGAGTGTTAACTCTGGTACCCATTACCCAGAGGCTAGGAAAACCCCGGGAACCACCCAGTTCCAAACATCGGCCGTAGGCAGCAAAAAGTCGCAGGTGGATTTCAAAAGCAGTCTCTTATTGACTGCGCTAACGTGGCCCCTAACATAATATGATGCTGTGTATTATGAATTTCTGTATTTGCCCATGTCTGGGTCCCAGTATATATTATTTTCAAAATAAATAGTTCATGATTTTCACCTGTCACTGCGGGTGGAGTCTGTTGACGAGAAGCCAAAATAATTTGAAGGAAACTTTACATTGAGTGATACTCTTAACTTCTTAATTATGGGTGATACAGTGAGAAATCTAGTATGGAACTGGTCAAGAATTTTCCAATGTGTTGATTAACCAGACCACAACATGGAGAATCAACATGCATACCTTTTGATTTCTACTAAATGAAACACTGCTTATGAACTTGTCAAAAGAGCAAGAACTTTGATACTTTATACTAATTAAAATGTCCCTTAGAATACTGCATTTTCTCTCTCTCTCTCTCCATTCTACTAGATTTTAGGTTCTTAGTTGACAAATAAAGAATCAATGAAAACACTCACAATCTTGTAGTCCTCCAGCTCTCTAGCACTGATGCCATCTTTATGGTTGTATATGCTGCCATCAATTTCCTTCACCCCAATGCACTTGGCTCCAGCGCGCGTCAGGTATCTCATGGTGTGCAGACCGACGTTTCCAAAACCCTGCAAAAGGTCACAGATAAAGGTAATCAACTCTAAGGCAACTTACAAGGATCTGCACTAGAAGACTTCGCCAGGGAGTGTTGACAAAATGCCAAAGTTAAGGGCTCCAACAGTGACCCTGAGAAGACAATGGACTTTGTTCTGGCAACATAACTGCAGCTAGTATAACCAAAGAACTAAACACAAAGGAAGAATCCGAAGGCAGATAATGCTGTTACAGAGGCATATTATGAATTAGTTATTTAGAATACAAAACTAACAAATATGTCAAAGACAAAAGATATAAATCTGCAGTACACCAGAAACCTTTTTTGGCAGTGGTGAAAAGTTGCAAACTAGTTTGGTTTGGGCACATGGTGAGACATGATTCGATTGCACAGACTGTACTTCAAGGAACATTGGAGGGTAGTCAAAGTAGAGGAGGGCAAAGAAGAACCTGGAATGACAACATCCAGAAATGGACAGGACTAAGTTATCAGCAAAGAAGAACCTGGAATGACAACATCCAGAAATGGACAGGACTAAGTTATCAGCAAAGAAGAACCTGGAATGACAACATCCAGAAATGGACAGGACAGTTATCAGCAAAGAAGAACCTGGAATGACAACATCCAGAAATGAACAGGACTAAGTTATCAGCAAAGAAGAACCTGGAATGACAACATCCAGAAATGGACAGGACAGTTATCAGCAAAGAAGAACCTGGAATGACAACATCCAGAAATGGACAGGACTAAGTTATCAGCAAAGAAGAACCTGGAATGACAACATCCAGAAATGGACAGGACAGTTATCAGCAAAGAAGAACCTGGAATGACAACATCCAGAAATGAATAGGACTAAGTTATCAGCAAAGAAGAACCTGGAATGATAACATCCAGAAATGGACAGGACTAAGTTATCAGCAAAGAAGAACCTGGAATGACAACATCCAGAAATGGACAGGACTAAGTTATCAGCAAAGAAGAACCTGGAATGACAACATCCAGAAATGGACAGGACTAAGTTATCAGCAAAGAAGAACCTGGAATGACAACATCCAGAAATGGACAGGACTAAGTTATCAGCAAAGAAGAACCTGGAATGACAACATCCAGAAATGGACAGGACTAAGTTATCAGCAAAGAAGAACCTGGAATGACAACATCCAGAAATGGACAGGACTAAGTTATCAGCAAAGAAGAACCTGGAATGACAACATCCAGAAATGGACAGGACTAAGTTATCAGCAAAGAAGAACCTGGAATGACAACATCCAGAAATGGACAGGACTAAGTTATCAGCAAAGAAGAACCTGGAATGACAACATCCAGAAATGGACAGGACTAAGTTATCAGCAAAGAAGAACCTGGAATGACAACATCCAGAAATGGACAGGACTAAGTTATCAGCAAAGAAGAACCTGGAATGACAAACATCCAGAAACTGGACAGGACTAAGTTATCAGCAAAGAAAGTTATCCTGGAATGACAACATCCAGAAATGGACAGGACTAAGTTATCAGCAAAGAAAGAACCTGGAATGACAACATCCAGAAATGGACAGGACTAAGTTATCAGCAAAGAAGAACCTGGAATGACAACATCCAGAAATGGACAGGACTAAGTTATCAGCAAAGAAGAACCTGGAATGACAACATCCAGAAATGGACAGGACTAAGTTATCAGCAAAGAAAAACCTGGAATGACAACATCCAGAAATGGACAGGACTAAGTTATCAGCAAAGAAGAACCTGGAATGACAACATCCAGAAATGGACAGGACTAAGTTATCAGCAAAGAAGAACCTGGAATGACAACATCCAGAAATGGACAGGACTAAGTTATCAGCAAAGAAGAACCTGGAATGACAACATCCAGAAATGGACAGGACTAAGTTATCAGCAAAGAAGAACCTGGAATGACAACATCCAGAAATGGACAGGACTAAGTTATCAGCAAAAGAAGAACCCTGGAATGACAACATCCAGAAATGGACAGGACTAAGTTATCAGCAAAGAAGAACCTGGAATGACAACATCCAGAAATGGACAGGACTAAGTTATCAGCAAAGAAGAACCTGGAATGACAACACCCAGAAATGGACAGGACTAAGTTATCAGCAAAGAAGAACCTGGAATGACAACATCCAGAAATGGACAGGACTAAGTTATCAGCAAAGAAGAACCTGGGAATGACAACATCCAGAAATGGACAGGACTAAGTTATCAGCAAAGAACCTGAAACCTGGAATGACAACATCCAGAAATGGACAGGACTAAGTTATCAGCAAAGCAAAAACTGAAGAACCTGGAATGACAACATCCAGAAATGGACAGGACTAAGTTATCAGCAAAGAAGAACCTGGAATGACAACATCCAGAAATGGACAGGACTAAGTTATCAGCAAAGAAGAACCTGGAATGACAACATCCAGAAATGGACAGGACTAAGTTATCAGCAAAGAAGAACCTGGAATGACAACATCCAGAAATGGACAGGACTAAGTTATCAGCAAAGAAGAACCTGGAATGACAACATCCAGAAATGGACAGGACTAAGTTATCAGCAAAGAAGAACCTGGAATGACAACATCCAGAAATGGACAGGACTAAGTTATCAGCAAAGAAGAACCTGGAATGACAACATCCAGAAATGGACAGGACTAAGTTATCAGCAAAGAAGAACCTGGAATGACAACATCCAGAAATGGACAGGACTAAGTTATCAGCAAAGAAGAACCTGGAATGACAACATCCAGAAATGGACAGGACTAAGTTATCAGCAAAGAAGAACCTGGAATGACAACATCCAGAAATGGACAGGACTAAGTTATCAGCAAAGAAGAACCTGGAATGACAACATCCAGAAATGGACAGGACTAAGTTATCAGCAAAGAAGAACCTGGAATGACAACATCCAGAAATGGACAGGACTAAGTTATCAGCAAAGAAGAACCTGGAATGACAACATCCAGGACAGAAATGGACAGGACTAAGTTATCAGCAAAGAAGAACCTGGAATGACAACATCCAGAAATGGACAGGACTAAGTTATCAGCAAAGAAGAACCTGGAATGACAACATCCAGAAATGGACAGGACTAAGTTATCAGCAAAGAAGAACCTGGAATGACAACATCCAGAAATGGACAGGACTAAGTTATCAGCAAAGAAGAACCTGGAATGACAACATCCAGAAATGGACAGGACAAAGTTATCAGCAAAGAAGAACCTGGAATGACAACATCCAGAAATGGACAGGACTAAGTTATCAGCAAAGAAGAACCTGGAATGACAACATCCAGAAATGGACAGGACTAAGTTATCAGCAAAGAAGAACCTGGAATGACAACATCCAGAAATGGACAGGACTAAGTTATCAGCAAAGAAGAACCTGGAATGACAACATCCAGAAATGGACAGGACTAAGTTATCAGCAAAGAAGAACCTGGAATGACAACATCCAGAAATGGACAGGACAGTTATCAGCAAAGAAGAACCTGGAATGACAACATCCAGAAATGGACAGGACTAAGTTATCAGCAAAGAAGAACCTGGAATGACAACATCCAGAAATGGACAGGACTAAGTTATCATAAACTGATTCATCAAGTGGGAGACAGAGGAAGTGGGTGGTTTGTGTGTGCTAGTGCTTCCATCAGTTCACCTCTACAACCCCTAACAGGTCAAGGGTTATGATATGTAATGCTGTTAAGTGTTAGGTCATGAAACGGTAAGGACTGGCTCCCTTCCTCAATACCTTTTATTTCCATAAAATGATGAAAATGAAGACAAGCACATGCCACACAGGAGGCATGCAGATATGAAAGTTACTGTTTGAAACCTATGACTAAAAAGTGAACATTTTCAGACTCGACAGGACACAGGCTAAAATACCACTCTTTCAGGTTTAAACAGTTGTTACTAAGTGATAAATACTGAAATCTAGAGTTCAGCTAGAGACACTTTGGGACAGAAAAGTTAAACTAACAATATCAATAAAAAGGGTTAATATAACAACTACTGTCTGTGACAGAGAACAGCAAGAATATGATTTATCTTCAAAATGACAAAGAAACAGCAAATTGTTTGCTATTGACAGAGTTAATAAAATAAGTACAGGAGACAATGACACATGCAACTGAGGACTTAGTAAAATGACAATTAAACATTTACTGCAAATATCCATGACTAAACCAGCTTCTTCAGCAATGAAACTACTGAAGCTTCAGCCAAGGAAACTACTGAAGCTTCAGCCAAGGAAACTACTGAAGCTTCAGCCAAGGAAACTACTGAAGCTTCAGCCAAGGAAACTACTGAAGCTTCAGCCAAGGAAACTACTGAAGCTTCAGCCAAGGAAACTACTGAAGCTTCAGCCAAGGAAACTACTGAAGCTTCAGCCAAGGAAGACAGCCACCGAATAACAAATGTATCAGCCACTATCACTTCCAAACATCAAAACCCCAGTAAACAGAAAATCAGAAACATATTGGAAGACAAACACTGTATATAATCACAAACAAGATTTCCTCAAACATCAGAAAAGAACAGGCCAAGTCATCATGTTTCGTTTACTCAGTGGACATTGCAGACTTGACAAAACTGATATGAGCTAAACACCTCCCTGCCAGGGTCTTCAAGCTGAATGTTGAATTAAGAATCAACATCATAGCACTCGGGACACTCCCATAAGTGCTCCGTCCTCCATCTTTAGCAGCAAGCGAAGAGTTCCAATTCCGATGGTACCAGTAACTGACTGATTGTTGTCTTTGTGCTAAACAGACCCCAGAACATGTTTAGCAAGAGTGCCCTTGCCTGGAAGAGTTAACGTGTGGTCTCAACCAACAGACCAGACAACTAGGCTTTGGGAAAACCTCAGAGACCTTGAGATGACATCCCTGTTTACAGCCCATAGCAGATTAAGCCCATGACCGGAGATAACGGAAGATGATGAGACCAGCTTTTATAGAGGGCAAACTGTGTGGAATGTCAGCAAGCTCAATCTGGCTGCTGCTTTCTTTAAATATATTCTTCTCCTTCGCGTTTACCAGCTGTAAACTCCGTCGGAAAGTTCTGGTTGTTCATCCACTTCCCGACTGTAGACCTGTTTCAGAACCTGAGTTTTGCAAGTGCATCCGTTTTACAAATTTGACTTATTTGTATGCAGACTGTTGGTTCCTTGCCTCTCAGGCAGGTACACTCCGACTTCAAATGAAGCTCCCAATTACTCGACTCTTATGACAGGCTACTAGGGAGGCAGGTGGTCTATTCAATGGACACTTGATGTGTTATGTGGTCAACATCTTGTCCAACATCTGGCTGGCATTTCAATAAAACCAGCCTGTTTATTTATGGCAAAATGCTATAAGATTGTTTCAGAAATATTGTTAAGCAACAATCGCTGGCAATAAGTTTCACTATTTTAGCTATGGTCACTTATTTGCTTAAATACCATGTTAACATTAAATCTAAAATATAACTAAAATGTATCTGATGAACGAATAAGATATTAATTAACAACTAACCTGAAGGATGAAAGTCTTATCACCAAAGCCGGGTGTCAGGCCAACCATGCTCATGTAACTGGCCTCCATGATAAAGTTATGCACTCCATGGTAAACTCCCTGCAAGAATAACAACCAACATTTATGTTGAGGAAAAAACGGTCTCGTAAAAAAGAGCAAACAATATTTATTTAGAGGAAATAATTGTCTTACAAGAACAGCAACCAAATTTTTTTTTTAGAGGAAATAATTGTCTAGCAAAAACAACAACCAATATTTATGTAGAGAAAACAACAGAGGTCTTACTAGAACAGTCAATAATATTTATATAGAGGAAATGAAGGTCTTAAAAAACAGCAACCAATATTTATGTAGAGAAAAAAAACAGATGTCCTGAAAGGACAACAAAATTTAACTCTTTGAGTCCCAGGGGGTTTAGCATCACAGGCCCAGGGGGTAGTAAAGAAAGTTAAAAAATCGGCGCATCATGCGTTTATTGGGCTTCTAGGTACCTATGAACGTATGATGCGTTGATTGGGACTCAAAGAGTTAAGTAAAGGAATAGTTTACATAAAAAGAGAACAATAAATATTTTATAAGCCACAAAAAATGGGGGCTGGGGGGTGTCACCTCAAAGAGGCATAATCCCAGCTTGGAAGCATAATAAAAATACTGTGATGAATGGTTAATAGATATAAATAATATGAAATGTATAAACAATACTTCTGAAGATAATTTATACACATGATTAAAATGGTCTGCTTAGACTTCTTTCAAATTATTACATTTTCTTTTTCAATTTGAGGGGTGGGGGGGCACAAGTATCCTCGGCCATCATGGTTCAGGCTCCAGTGAAACATTCAGTACTCCGATCCTTTATCTACATGCTGATGTACACGTCTGCTGAACACAAAGCACATTACATTCCAGGGTTCATAGCCAAATTTACCAATCAATTTCAAGGCTTTTCAAGGTCTTTTTTAAGGTCTCCTTAGTTTTTTTCAAGGTTGTCTCGGTGTAATACTGAAACAAGATTTTTGCCTTGTTCAAGGGTGTGCTGAGCACACAAGGTACTTCATTTGTGCCACATGTGTTGGTATACCAGCACAGATATCATCATCATGTAGAATTTCCTTTGTCCTGACAAAAAAACCTCGGTCTCTCACCAGCTCTCCCGCCTCATGTACTTTTTTATGCTCAAGGAGTCACTTATATCCTGTGCCCATCTTCGTGCTGGTCGGCCCCTGAGCTTGATATAGTGTTTGAAATTTTTTTTTAGGGCTTGGTGTAGAGGGCAGCAAACTGAAGTCCTGTTTTGTTCTGGACCTGGTACCTGAGAGGGTTAGGGGAGAGAGAGAGAGTCATGAAGAGAGAGGAAGACACATGCTGAGGTAGGCTGGGAGAGACAGTGTAAAGATGGACAGATGAAGGTAGAGAAAAGAAGGAAAAGAAGTCTGGGGAAGGAGGAAAAAATGAGAAGGGAGGATGGAGACATGATGAGGAAAGTGGGGAAGGAACAGCAAAGACGGAGAGGGAGACAAATACAGAAAGAGGGAATGCAGATACAGAGAGGGCAGATGAAAAGAGAAGAAAAAAGGGAACGAAATAGAGATATGGAAGGAGGAAAATATGACAAAGAGTTGAAAGAAGGGAGAGAGAGGGATAGAGAGTAGAGAACGGACAGGGTGAGAAGCAGATGCAAGCAGAGAGAGATGTAGACATAAAGGAGGGAGAGAGAGACAAAGGGACAGCACAGAGAGGCAAGCAGACAGAGGGAGAGAACCAAGAAAGAGAAAAAAAGCAGAGCAAGGAGAATGGGAGGGAGGTATACAAAGAGGAAGTGATGAAGGGTAGGCAAACAGACATAAAGCAAGAGAGAGAGAGAGAGAGAGAGAGGTGGGTAAGGAAGGCAGTGACAAACACAGATTAAGAGAGAGGGGCAGGAAGGGAGACAAGATACATCAAAGAAAAAAAACAGCACCTACTTCCCCCCCCCCCCCCACACACACACAATTTCAAGTGTAGTGGACACAACCACTAGGAAAAGATAGTTATGGGGGCAAACAAATACGTAGATGAACCAGTAAAAAAAATGATGGGGGAGGTGGGGGGGGAAGAGAATGAGAGAGGGGAGCGGGTAAGGAAATCTAGAGAAAATGAAAAGACAGGATGGAGAGGAGACAAAGAAGAGATGGGACAGGAGAAAGGGCAAGGAAAGGAAGAGAGGAAGAATGGAGAGAGAAAGGAGAAGTAGAAGATCAAAGGAAAGAGAAGGGTTGAGAGAAGAAAGGTAAGACACGGTTGTGGTGGGGGGGGGGGGGGTGTAAGAACAATGAGTGCCAAAAATAGAATTAGGAATCTTCTCTAAGTGAGGCCACTTTTCCGGTTCCTACCCTCTCCCCAATGTGAATGTGGCCATGGTCCAAAAACAACAGTGCTAACCCCTACTGCCCCTTGCTTGTCCTATCTGTGTGTGACAACAATAATTCAATTTCTTACACTTAAGGCTGGTGACCTGAGAGCCAAGGTCATTTTATGAAGAAGAAAAAAGTCCAGGGGATCCCAACCCACAACTGATGGAAAATAGAGAAGTTTACCCACACACATAAATAGGTCAGACAAATAGGTCAGGGCAGCAGTTGACTTCGTTTTATTTCTGGTTTTCCAATTACAGAAAGGAGGGGAGAGAGGAGGTGGTGGAAAGTGGTGTAGAAGGCTGAGATGGTAAAAGTGAGACAGAGGAGGTGAGAGAATAAAGTTTAAGAAAATAAAGTGGGAATGAGACAGGGAGAGAAAGAAGGGAGTAAGAAATAAGATGAGATATAGAGGGAAGAAGGTAGCAGGAAGGGGTGCACTCCCTCCCCTAGGTGTCATCAATGTGGGAGGAGAAAAAGGGGGGGGGGGGTGACGGCAAATGTGTTTTTAAAAGTACACATATATTTAATGTGTGGGAGGGGAATGGTGGACATGAAAATGTTCTGCACTAGGCAACACATAACCTTCTACACCAACTGAAGGTATGGAGAAAGAAAGAGAGAGAGAGAGGGAGGAGTGAGGAATAGTGGCAAAATACAAAGAGAAAGAAGAAAGCAGTGACACAGACAGGCAGAAAGTGAGGAAACAGGTAGGACAAAATGTGAGGGGGCGGGAAGGGAGATGGACAGAGATTAAGGCCGCTAGGAAAAACAACAAATCAAAGAAAATATCCACCATGTTCACACAGAATGCCCCCCCCCCCCCCCCCCCCGGGGAACAACTTCCTGTGTACTTGAGTTGCTAGGAAGAGTTATGGAGCCGCACATTTACTAAACATTTAAACAAGAAATAAAATAGGAAAAAGGGGGAGGGGGGACAGGAAATGAGAGAGAGTAAAAGGAAAGATAGAGAGAAAGAGAAGAAGATGAAGATCAGAAGGGAGGGTTAGAGACAATGCAGGAGACAGGAAGGAAGGAGCAATAGGTAGAAGAGTGAAAGAGGGAGGGAAGAGAGAGGGGTGAGGACAACAGAAGAGGGAATCTCGGGGAATTACAATACTGATCGCCAAACACACTGTAAAGATAAATCCAGGCCAAAAATAGAACTGGGAAATCCAGCTGCAGTCACTTTGCTTAGCCCCAATGCCATCTCTAATTAATAGAAAAGGCCGTGCTTAGCCCCACCACGGCGACTCTATTTATAAATACAACTGAACCGAGCCCCACCATCTCCAATGTAATCCTTTCTAGAAACCACGGCCATAAACGATTTAAACTGTTCATTCTGCCCGACTTGCTAGAAACAAAGGCACACACACACACACGCGAGACGGAAGCTGCTCCTTCCCGCCCCATGCCACACCGCTGCTGTCTGCGTGTATTCATGATCTGTAACATAGCCCGCCCTCCCCTGGCCTTTAACAAGCCATTTCGGCTGAAAATAGCCAATAATCCCTGCCCTCACACCTGAAACGACCATACAACGAAAGTAGCCAAAAACTAGCCAAATGGCCAAAAAAGCCGAATGGCTCCCCCAAAATTGCCTGTGCTGAAAAACACAGGATTTCTGACGATTTCATTGCCGCGGTCAAAATTCACGGCTTTTCAAGGTCGGAATGTCTTTTATAAGCTAAAAATCCCTGTTTAAGGTCAACGAAAAAAATCCCGGTAATTTCCCGATTTCCCGGTCCACTACGAACCCTGACATTCATAAGTAGCCTACCCTGCCAGTGGCTGAGATGCGGCCATGAATGCCTCCTTGTGGGATGGGTTTACCCGTCACGCATGCCCGAGCATTGATATCCCCATGACCTGGGGGGAAAAAAGTATCAGAATTTGTAAAGGAAACCTTAGCAAGGAATATAAAATGAAAATGCATCTAATCAGCATGTAACACTGTTGAACAAATAGGTAATTTCAAAAAAGCAAGTGTACTATTTCAGGGTACAATTAAAGTTTAGACAGGTATCAATCTGCATGGGCAACACTGCAATACCGCCCAGGCTTTGTGCCACAGAAAAAAGGAACGAAAACTATTGAACTTACTTAATCATCAACATAGGCAGTGATTACCACGCCTCCCTTCAGTAAAGTCACAGTCTTACAAGATTAGTAAACAATATCTGTATAGAGGAAATAACAGCGCCTTCTGCCAACAACAAGAGTGGTGAAAGAGAAACTTCTGTTTCAGTGCTATAAACTATATCTGAAATGTGCTTGTAGCTACATATTTTACATCTGACTTCAACAAACCCTTGATTAGTCACTTTTTAAGACATGCTTATTAAGGGGTAGACGGTCTACCTCCTCTTTTCTCCCCAATGAGGTGTTGAAACCTAATCAAGAAAGTGTCACTCAGAAGCTAGAGAACAAGAGTAGTAGTTGTAGTAATCTGAATAATAATATCCTGTTCAAGGATTATACAGTTTTTTCCCCTTCTATTTCAGTAATCAATATTTATCCCTATCAGTTCCTGTTGGTTATATAAAATTGCATACTTATGTATTCATTGTAAAAAACGGTTGTAGGTGTGTAGATCGTTGGGTATGATATATTTTAAGTGCACTTTTCAAACAATTATAATAACGATACTGTGTAATCTATCTTTGCTGATAATTAGAGTGATCTGGTATATTAATCTGTCTTCAAGATTGTATGCAAACCTTCATTCTCATGATGTACTGTTTAATCCTTCCCTGTAGTTATTTAGAGCTATCCCTGTATGTTTTCCTTTGTCATAGGCTTATTGCAGTAGGTCACATATTCATAAAGGTGCGTCCTTTGGAGTTCATATCTCTTGCAGTATAGTAAATCGTGTTTACTACTATTATGTATCTGACATACAAAACAAGTGTCTTCTGATACAGTGAAATAAGCTAGTCCAAATGGCAATCTTAGTGATTTCTTATGGCAATAGATATTTAGTTCACTAGTGATCTGACAATTTCTAGGCATGCCTTCCCTTTAAGTTTTCCACATCGCTGCTTATACTTCTGTTATTTTTTCTTCTTTTTTGTAAAAATTCAAAACACAATGAGCGAAGGTGAACCCTACTAGGACCACACACTGAATCATCAATACCTGTAACACAATGTGCAACCTGTCAATATTCGGATGAGAATCCCCTCAGGTAACAAATCAAAGAAATCCCATTCAACCGTAAGGTTATACTACGGCCCTGGACATTACAAAGTAAGGTCAAGTTCAGAGAGTGCAGGGTGTGATAAACACTCCAACTAGCTTCAAGAATGTTATTATTTGTTCCCCTTTGCTTCTCCAGCAAGAACAAGAGCAAAAAAGTGACTTCACACATACATACACTAACAAACACAGCAACTAACTAGATGGTCACCAGAATGTATAAGGCAAATATCAGAGCTTATTTCAAAACTTCCCTCAGGCCAGACAATGACAGCAAAAATATAAATGTAGATAAAGCAAATGCTGGCAACACAAAGGATAATTCCACTGAAAAATCACTACCAACATACAAAAAACTGGTATAAAATGTAACTTAAGTGTATGAAACAAAACAGTAGTGGACGTGTGTATTTTCTGTACAAGTGTATTTCAGTCACTATGCTCTTGTTCTTTCTTCTTCTTCACTCACTCTTAAATCTTTCGGTACTAAAAGATTTTCATGAGCTGACCATATGTATATTACCACTAGGAAAATCAGTGAGTGTATTATTTTCAAAGAAAAAGCTAAATACAGCAAAAGTCAGATTTATTTAGTATTTTCTGATTAAACATCGATGATAGTACAAGAAAAACTTTTAATATTAGGTTGGATTCACAGAACAGCTATTCATAGATGACACATTGTTTGGGACTGTAAAAGTTAAAAGGGTGGTTAGGTTGGCATACTGTGTTGTAGTTTACAACTAGGCAGTGATAGTTACACTTTTCCATCCAATGCAAAATGTAAAAAAAAAAAGCTACCTTCTATGACAAGCTTGTTTAGGCGGCAATTTGGGCCAGCCCCCCCCCCCCCCACGCGCGGAGAGATATAGCACTAAATTTAGAGATATGCTAGATATAAATCTCTGCTATCAGCCAAACCTAGCCACTGCTCTTGAACGTGGCATGTTTATGGCATCAGTGTTAAAATGTTTATTATCAACCAGCAACAAAAATAGTAAGAATGTTTTAACACAAACTGCGATACAAGAAGGAGAATGCAAAAGAGGAAGACAGCAAAATTAAGAGAAATATATTTTTCATTTACAATCTTATAGTAGAGCTTGGACTATGACACATGCACGTATAAGCTCTATATCTTTTTCTTCTTATTTGCATTCTTTGGCTGTAAACTCTGGCAGTAAGTTCTGGTTGTTAATCCACATCTGGACCTCAGTCTTGTTCCAGAAGGTCAGCCTTGCATGCACATAATAGATCTGGCTTATGTGTGCAGACTACTGGCTCCTTGCCTCTCAGGCATTGTTGATAACAGGCATTGGTCCTCTGAAAAATGAGTGCTTAAAAGGGCCGAATGTGTGCCCAATTTGTAACCCTTTGAAAATAAAGTTTGTTTGTTCGTTCAATCAGGCAGATGACTCTCTGACTTTGAAGAAATCCTCTAATTAGCTGCCTCTTACAGCATGCTTGTTAGGAAGGAAGTGGGTCTCCCCCCCCCCCCCCCCCCCCCATATAATGAGACCCCAGAACCCACATGGGTACATAATGATCATAAGATTTTTTTTTTAGATCAATCCAACATCCAGTGGATGATATGGTCAACATCACTCCACCAGCTTTACTTCCCATAACATTTTCTTGTTCCTATTTTAAGCCAGGATAACCTGGAAGCTTAGGTCAATGATTTTTTAAAAACAATGACAACCAAAGAAAAAAAATTTTTTTTAAAGCCCAATGAGGCAAAGTTCTCATCAAATTGTAAAATTAGTACAGCCAGTGAACGCTATGTAGAAGCAGAAAAGTTTCAAGGGGAATATCCCCAGCAAACGTGATTATGGCAAACATACACTGGGATCCTCAAACTGCCAGCAGTATATTCAACACACTCATAAAAAAGTTCACTGGATTAATTTCTTGGTTTCAGCTTGCCAGCAGTCACCCCCATGCATGCACGTCCATGGTATAACTGGAAGTTGAGGTCCATAAGATTTGGCATTTTATTCTTTTGTTTCATCGTCTTGGAATCGAAGAACACCGATTCACCTGACCATTTATGACCTCTATGTCCCACTACCATCCTCATAATCATCGTTCTCTCTCCTCCTCTCATACACTATCTCTGTTCCCTCTCGCATACACAAACCTACTTCTTGAGTTGGCATACATGGATTTAGCATAATTGGAAGTTGAGATACATAAGATGTGGCCATTTATTATTCAGTTTGGTGGTCTTGGCAACGCTGAACACTGTGATACACCTGACTGTGTATGATCTTATTTAGGACCCTTCCCTCCCATCCTCCAAACCAATTTATCACTCTACCACACTATCTCTACTCATCTCCCACACTATCTCTACTCATCACCCCCACTAGATCTCTCATACTCACCCCCACTAAATCTCTACTCCTCTCCCACACTATCTCTACTCACCCCCACTAAATCTCTCCTACTCATCCCCACTAAATCTCTCCTCCTCACCCCCACTAAATCTCTACTCCTCTCCCCCACTAAATCTCTACTCCTCTCCCACACTATCTCTACTCACCCCCACTAAATCTCTCTTACTCACCCCCACTAAATCTCTTCTCCTCACTGTCGTGAAATGATAAGCCATTACGCATCGGTCCATAAGGCTGGTAACCTGACTTACCTGTAATCGGCACAAAATTCAAACTTGGACTCGCCCGGAAAGATATAGTCCCTTATATCTATATATATAGGCCTTTATTGGACAACATTATTATGTCTACCTTTTCTGGTTGCTTTAACTAAACTCCACTTTTAAATGTATATATCTTTGATATATATTAGAGGAGTTATTTGAGGTTTCTTAGAAACCGATGCACTCCTTGCCCATGTATACTAGGGACTTCTTTTTTTACCAACGCCTGAAGCGTCTAAGTGACGCCATTCTCTTTGCCAGCTTCCTAGCGTCCAGACGTGTCAATCGATGCCTGTATAATTTCAATTTCATAAGGCAATCTGGAATGTCTCAGACTTTTCATATGCTTGGGTAAGTTAATTATAGTTTACAAGTACCTAAAATGATGTCTGTTAAAGTAGTCACTGCTGTAGAGAGATCAGTATCGGCTGTGGGATCACACATAATTCGACCGTTCATCGCTAGAGAAGCGGATTCGAACGTAGACCTTCCCCTGTACAGACTAAATAGCCTTTGACCTCAATAACCCACCCATACTGGTAAAACTAATACCCTTATAAGTGTGTACGTTTTAAACTAACTGTGGAAGTTTGTGCATACAAAATTGGGACAGAATTAGGTCAGGACTTTGTCGATCAGTGTATGAGTGTGGTTGACCCAGATCAATGAATGGTAAGACAGGCTTTTGGGGAGTGTAAGGAATAAATGTACTGACGGTGGATATTGGTGTCTGTGTGCAGAGGGGAGGGGAGAGAGAGAGTGATATATGTGTTAGAACACTCTATCTCCATTGTATATCTGACTTGCCTTCTCTTGCACTAAACAGACAGATGAATATAAGAGACTTGTGTCTCTTGGTCTGGAGAGGCATTCTGAGGAATGAAACAGGAGAGCAGGGTGGAGTAAGCAGATGGGGGATGATGACTGATGCTTGTTCTGTCTTTCCTGTCAAGATGTTACCCTCTTGATGATGACTAATTCTGAGTTATTTCTTGACAGGATGTATCCTTTGTGAGGAGCTGGCAGAAGTTTCACAGTCCAACCAACACCCACCAACCATAAACCATAACCCATCAATCAATGAACCTATTACCTTCCACTTATCACCCAACTCCCAAGTGTGGAGATTGATGTCAGTTTGAGGGCCATATACCCCAAACTTCCTACAGTACCAGAACATGTGTGTAGCTCATGGACAGTGCTGCTAATGACTAGTGGGAGCCATTTGCTGTGTAATTATCCAGTTGCTGTGTCCTTTATGGTGAGGTACTCCTCCACCAGCTGATCCAGTTGAGGCAGAGTCCCCAAAGACAGTCGAATCATCAGGAGCTGAGGGAAGCTACATAGACGGAAAGACGATAAGTGACAGTTGATGCCATGTATTAAAATTCCTCACAGCTCACATGTTTCCCAATGATGACAATGTGTCATCTCCAGGACCTTCTGTCTGTGTAATTTTGGTGATCTGGACATTGTATCCTGGAATCCAGCTATAGAAATCTGGCATCTGCTTCTCTATTTTATATATATATATATATTACACTGATTACATGCATTCATTTTCATGGCTGACTTAGGTTTCTCTATTTCACCTTTTTAAGCGTTTAGCAGTTGTGTGTGTATGTATCTTCATTATATGTGTTAACATGGTTTTGATAATGAACTATCATAACCTGGGGGCTTTCTTTAGTAAGTAGTGGGGGTGTCCAGCCAAGTGTGCCTAAAAAATATTATATTCATATACTGACATATTTTGTAGTGCCAATACTTGAGTTGCCCTACTCCAGAGATAAGTTGAGCGTATATTGGCCACGGGGAATCCCTTAGACCAATACGAGCCAAACGACTCAACATAATTATCTCTGAGTGCTGTTGGTTCTGAAGGAGAAATCCTTACATTAGGCACGCGACAGGAGTGATATGTGACACTCACCCCCACTAAATCTCTACTCCTCTCCCAGAATATCTTTACTCCTCTCCCACACTAAATTTACTCCTCTCCCACACTAAATTTACTCCTCTCCCACACTATCTCTCTTCTCACCCTCACTATCTCTCTCCTCCTCTCACACTCTATCCTTTTTCCCTCTGGAACAAACTTACCTAGTGAGTTGGCGTACGTGTCGGCAATCCAGCTCATCTCTCTCTCCCCTGTGCCCATATCTGGGGCAGGCACATCTATACCTGGACCTGAAATACACAAATGTACTACTGTAAGATTTTGTTGTTAGATTTTATGTAGTGTGTGGAATAGGAGCTGGCTTAATGGATAGAAAGGGAGACATAAGTTGTTCTTTTTCTTAGCATTCACCAACTCCCCCGAAAAAATCTGGTTGCTCGTCCACTTCTGAATTTTTGTCTTGTTCCAGAACATGAGTTTCGCATGTAAATCCTTTTTACAGATCTGGCTCATTTGCATTTAGACCGCTGGTTCCTTGCCTCTCACGCGGATGCACTCCATCTTCAAAGGAAATATAACTAATTATTTGGTTTCTACAACATGCCTATTATGGTGGCAGTGGTCTATCATCTCCCACCACCATGGGACTCCGGAAGCCACATGGAAAGTTTGCAATCTCTTATGGTTACTACTCTAGAATCAGTTTTGTGTTTTTCTCCCAAGTATGATATTTGGTAGAGTCATCAAGATATTTATACAGATGTCCTCTCTAGCTTTTCTTCCACACAATTTACCAGTTGTCACAATTTCCACATTTCTGCCCACAACATACTTTAAAAAATCTTCACTATAACTTCACCATCATCATCAATCAGCATTTTTTTTTTACGTCACTCTCGCCACGACAAAACTTCAGATCTCTTTCTCCAGCCCTGTGTGCTTTCACTGCCAATGTGTCTTCAATGTTTTGTTTCCATCTTCACGGAGGTCTGCCTTGGAAACTATGATCTATCCAGGCCACCAGGATCAAAATACCGCAGTTTTTAGTACAAGGTGCTGTTTATGAGCCAATTCTCCTTGACGCTCAGATCATGTAGGAGTTGGTGTTTTCTCGTTTGGGTCCATGGTATTCAAAGATTTTTTTTTGGGGGTAGCATTTCATTTCAAAAGCTACTATAACTTTATGTGGGTTTAAATTGTACTAACTGCTTGCCTCACCATGTATACAAATAATTCCTACATTAAAAAAATCTTACCTATAAATCCTTTTTTGGCGAGTTCTACTGTGAACCTTCTTGTAATTTTCTCCAGCTCATTTACAGAGTATTCTGCAGGGTTAATCCTCACTCCAGCTTTGGCACCACCAAATGGGACATCAACTACAGCACATTTATATGTCATCAAGGCAGCAAGGGCTTTCACTTCGTCAAGGTTCACATCCATACTGTAACGTATACCTGTGTGAAAATAGGTAAGATAAAGATATTTAACTGGAGCTGACACTACTGCAAGTTCACATCCATTACGTAATGTATACCCGTGTAAATATTTCTAAGATATGTAACTATTCACATCTATTTGGTAACATATACATGTGTGAACATGTGTAGGATAAGATGTGTAAGAGCTTACACTACATCCAAGTTCACATCCATTACAGAACGTATACCTTTGTCAAAATTTGTAAGATATTAACTAGAGCTTTCACTACATCCAAGTACACATCCATAATGTAACATATTCATGTGCGAACGTATGTAAGATAAGAGATGTAACTAGAGCTTACACTACATCCATGATGTATCATATTCATGTGCGAACGTATGTAAGATAAGAGATGTAACTAGAGCTTACACTACATCCATGATGTATCATATTCATGTGCGAACGTATGTAAGATAAGAGATGTAACTAGAGCTTACACTACATCCATAATGTATCATATTCATGTGCGAATGTATGTAAGATGAGAGATGTAACTAGAGCTTACACTACATCCATGATGTACCATATTCATGTGCGAACGTATGTAAGATAAGAGATGTAACTAGAGCTTACACTACATCCATGAAGTATCATATTCATGTGCGAACATATGTAAGATAAGAGATGTAACTAGTCAAGAACAGGACCCTTTTCCACGCCATTAGGCGTAGTGGGTATCCTGATGTAGATTTTTAGACCAAATGGCACTTGGTGGATGATGTGGTCAACATTATGCCAGCCGCCTTTACTTCCCCAGACTTTACCTGGTACCCATTTAAGGCTGGGTCTACCCGGGATTCAAGGTCATGTCTGAACAAATCAGGCTCCATGTGGATTTGAACCAATGACCTTAGCATCCACAGGCGAGCATCTAGCCTCTACATCATATGTAAATAGAGCTTTCTCTCTATCTAGGTTCTCATCTAGGCTAAAGGTATAATTGAGCTAGGACAGATAAAGAACAGGAAAAAAAATTACTCATGAAATAAGATTTCCTGGGAAAAGCACTTGATAAACAGAGAAGATAGAAGAGAGAAATGACTAAATCCTAATGACAATGAAGTCAGTAGCAGTGGTAGATTGCATAGGAAAACCACAAGTGAAGTGGTCAACCATTTAACTCAGCCATCAACAGACAGTATTCCACAACAAACAATGATGTATAGACCAATTGAGAATCAAAAGAGAGGCAGATCATACAAACGATGTCCCTGTGTGAGTTCAGGGCCTCACTGGGGACCATTGCCCCTTAACAAGCATGTCCTAAGAGTCAACTAATTAGGGATGTTTTCTTTAAAGTTGGGCTGTATCTGCCTGTGAGGTGAGGAACCAACAGTTTGCATAAAAGTAAGGCATATCTGTAACCCCAATGTGCTCCCGAATCCTTAAGTTCGGGAACAAGACTAAAGCCACATGTGGATGATCAACTAGAATTTTCTCCCAGAGTTTACAGTTGGTGAACCTAAGAAGAAGAATGATACGATGAACAGAAAGAAAAGGAGAGTCCCTATGAACCTCTATATTAAAGTTATGGGGTCTAAAGCTAAATAATTCAAAAAGCACAGCATCCCTTTTCTCTCTCTCCCCCAGAAAAGAAAAAAATTGAAATTCAGATAAAAAACTAGCTCATTCTACAGACTGACACTCCTACCTTTCTTGGCGTTACACTTGATTCGCGACTAACTTGGAAGTCACACGTAGAAGCAGTACAGGGAAAAGCATTCAAGAAGCTTGCAGTGATGAAAAAATTAGTGGGTACCACATTGGGAGCTAACTCCAGAATCCTAAAACAAGTATATACTGGAGCAGTCAGGCCAGTCATGGAATATGCCTCCACTGCATGGGCTGCAGCAGCCAAGACAACAATGGGAAAACTGGACAAGGTTCAGAATATGGGATTAAGGATTGTTCTCGGAGCCATGAAATCCACCCCCATCAGAGAGATAGAGAGAATAGCAGATACTGAACCACTCGAACTCAGAAGACAATATAAAACTCTTTTACAGTATGAGAAATTAAAAAGACTTCAAAGTCACCCACTGCATTTTAAATTTCAAGAGAGAACAAAAAACAGACTGAAGCGTCAGAGCCCCAACCACATTGCTAGAGAACTAAACAGACAGCACCAAGATCTGCTTGAAAGAGATGTAGCTCTGTGCGAAAAACTTAGACCAGAACCATGGACAAGCAAGCCAGAGAAGGCAAGTGTAGTTCTAAAGGTACCAGGGATCACTTCAGAAAATGCCCAGACGGAGACACAACAGAGAACCATGGCTCTTGCTATGCTTGATGAGAAGTATCCCAACACCACTTGGACTCCGGTTTTCACCGACGGCTCTGCTATAGATGCAGTCAGAAAGGGGTGTTGTGGGATATACATTAAACCCCCTAGCAGTAGAGCAGAAACTCTCTACCAGCAGGTGACATCTGCACTAACTTCAAAGCTGAGGCAACTGCCCTCCTTTCTGCAGTCCAACATCTCATCACTCAAGAACACAGAGTGCACCAAATTGTTATACTTAGTGACTCATTGTCTGTTCTCCAAGCACTATCAAGCAAAAAACAAGACAAACTAATTGCAGATCTAAGGACCAACATTGGCTTACTCTCCAAGGAAGCAGAACTGGTCTTGCAGTGGATACCAGCCCACTGTGGTATTCAAGGAAATGAGAGAGCAGATGAGTTGGCAAAAGCTGGGAGTAATCTTCCACAACCTCATCCACCACACAGCTACAAGGAAACCAAAACAGCACTAAAGCAGTCTTTCAAGCGGGAGTGGAGAAAGCAGAATAGAGATACAGACCAGAGAGTGACAGCATAAACAAACTCAACAGGAAAGAACAAACATCAATTTTTAGACTTCGGACTGGACACTGTGGTCTTCGAGCACACCTGTACAAGATAGGCATAAAAGAATCTGCTGCCTGTGATTGTGGAGCAGAAAGACAGACCCCTGAGCACATACTACAGTACTGCCCTAACCTCTCCCAGCAATGACTGGATCTGGCCCAGGGGATCCACATTGCGAGAGAAGCTATGGGAGACCGGTGGCGACCTTAAACGCACAATCCTATTTTTGACCCAAACTGGACTTAATGTGTAGCATGACTGATGTCGAACGCAGAAGAAGAAGAAGAACAAAGAAAGGCTGTATAATCACCCACAGTTGGGATCAAACTCAGCACCATGGAATAACGAAGCATGTTCACAAAGCCTAAGCTATAAACGCCAACAACTTCCACTTACCAGGCCCATAAACTGGCACAGGAATGGAGCAAGTATAGGGTGACCCAACTGCAGTGCAGTTGAAACCTCGACTAAGACTCATTAACAAGCTCTCCCTCAGTCTATATTACACCTTGATACAGCAAAGCACCAGCAGATCGAGATGAGATCAGACATAATAAGAGCTCATTTCATCCAGGTTCACGTGCTGCGGTCCTTATACCTGGCTGGTGTAGCGGCTAGAGCAGCGGTCCTTATACCTGGCTGATGTAGCGGCTAGAGCAGCGGTGCTCAACCTGTGGGTCACGACACTTTTGTGGGTCAAACAACCCTTTTACAGAGGTCGCCAAAGGCCACAGGAAAACACATATTCACTGAAGTTATGAAGTAGCTACGAAAATAATTGTATGGCTGGGACTGGCCACAAAATGAACTGTATTAAAGGGTCACGGCATTAGGAAGGTTGAGAACCTCTGCTCTACAAGTTTCCTAATTATAACTTCTGTAAAGACAAGGGAGTATCTGGGATCTGCCTTGTTTGCCATCCTGACTGAGAACTTTCAATTCAGGATGTGATGGTAAACAGTTAGGTAACAGCCTGGAAGGGACAGCCTGACTGATCAATCCAAGTTCACGTGAATACTGTAACCTATACCTGTGTCACATGAATACTGTAACGTAAACCTGTGTCACGTGAATACTGTAACCTATACCTGTGTCTCGTGAATACTGTAACGTATACCTGTGTCACATGAATACTGTAACGTATACCTGTGTCACGTGAATACTGTAACGTATACCTGTGTCACGTGAATACTGCAACGTATACCTGTGTCATGTGAATACTGCAACGTATACATGTGTCACATGAATTGTGAAACGTATACTTGTGTCCTACAGAAATCCATATTTATTGCTTTGTCAAAGAAACCAGAAACTGTCAAATGTGAAGACCATCGCACAATGTCTTATGAGTCATGTGACAAAGATGCTTTTGAGAATTATGTGAAGAATAGGAAACAAGATTAGATCAAACCTGAGTGATGAAGAATGTGGATTTGTAGAGGGAAAGGGTACAGTACAAACAACACCATGTACAACCTCAGTACTCTGTCAGAAAGAGCTTTAAAAGTAAAAAGATATATATGTATTTATGCTAAATTTGTTAAGCACTAGCAAGCAAATAAGTCAAAATGTTGACAGTGTTCATCTCTCCTGCAGCAATTATCGGATGTGAGCCATGGACTATTTCACACACAAAAATATTCTCAGATTACTATGAACAATGAAGAAGAGAGCTAGTGACATCTAGAAGATCTGCTAGTAAACAGCACCGTGTCTTGGAATATGAAATTTTTTTTGGCTATATCTAGTGCCAAGGCAGATTGGAAAGAATAACAGCATAAGGCATGGCACCAGGAAAGAGGGGCACAGGATATAAGTGACACTTTCAGTTGGAAAGTGCATCAGCTGGCAGAGATGCGAGACCATCCTTTTTTTTTCAGATCGTGTTGAGAGTGACATTCTCGAAAGGATCTACCACATGATGATGATGACATCTCAATAGCTTCCACATATTTTCTCGCAAATTTTGCCAGTGATTCACTTCCATACAACAGGACTGTTTCTATGTAGCTCTTAGGAACTATTTTTCTTAACCTACTGGCATTATGAAATGCTACTTTTGCTTTGGGAAATTCTACATTTAATTTTAATATAATTATATGGAGCCTGGCTTTTTTTTTTACTTTTACATAAATGAACTTGGCTCCCTAGTCCACCAGCCTTAAATGGTTACCAGGTAAAGTCCTGGGAAGTAAAGGCAGTGGGTGTGATGTTTACCAAATCATAAACCTGAGTGCTGACTGTATTATACAATATAAGTAATAAGTCTAGCCCTATATGCCTGCACTGGTGGAAAAGGGTTCTTTACATTCTGGAAGTGACTCAGTGGGCCTGGCGTGACTCAGTGGGCCTGGCGTGACTCAGTGGGCCTGGTGTGACTCAGTGGGACCTGGCGTGACTCAGTGGGACCTGGCGTGACTCAGTGGGCCTGGTGTGACTCTGGATACTGATAGGCCCATTTCCTGTGGCATCAAAGTTGTTAGTCACTCAAGTTGTATTCACTACGTATGTGCCTGCTACTTTAGTTGTGTGAACTAGCTCCCCCGTGTGGGCTCCAGGGTCATGTGGGGAAAAAAGGGAGGCACTGCCATTTGCAATCATGTCGAAAAAGGCGACTAATTAAGGATCTGCTACTGTCAAAATGTGATATAGATGTAGCCTAAGAAAGCCGTAACAACTCACTGTCAACCACAAAATAACGTGCCTGCCGCCCTTTTAAGTGCGAACTAAGATTTAAAAAAAAACAGAATGAGAACCAATCGAACTCACCTCCCTTGCACGGGGTTCTGTGTTGACTATGCTGTGCCCTGTAGGCCTCGATCATCTCATACTTGCCATTGTCGCGTTTGATGGGGAAGTTGACAGCCATGACGTGGTTGCATGGCTTGATGACAGACAACAACCCATCAACCACTTTCTTCCTCTCCTCATCCGTCAGATGTTTCCCTCTCACCTTCTTAATTAACCGATCCTCCAACAGCACGGCCGACTTATCAAAAAACAACTCTACCTGTTCGGAAAAACTAGGCTCGTCATTAGTTACGTCTGCGGAACTGTAGGGGCGAAACCACACAACAGCAGACCTGGCCTGTTGGAAAACGCCTCTCTGGCTCGACTGCGACACAGCTCGTAACATGACGAATATTCTTTCAATAAAAATGTAATTAAGTCAGCATAAAAAAGCCGGTATTCACAAGTACACTTGTAGGATTTGGGCCCTGGTCGCCTCCTCGTTGGAACTTGACCAGAAGTATTACAGTTACACATGTGAAGGGACAGAAGCCCCACGAAATCACGAACTGGTTCCGTTTGACACGCCGCCCTGATTGGCTGCACCAGCGCCTTGACCGAGTTTTGTGTGGGTTCTGGAGGGTGTGTGGTCAATGACCAATGGCGTTTGATCATCTAATGGCAGAGCTCTCCAAACTGTTTATGCTGTTGACATACATTCTGATTTAAAAGCTTGACTTGAAATATATGAAACCTAATAGTCTATACTCCTGCAATATGTTACAGGTAATATACAATCTAAATATGTATTCATTACATGCTGCTTCCAGAGCACTCGCATGGGTAACAGAACAAGCGGCTTTACACGCGGTAACCATTTCAGACTCTCATGAACATGCTTCAGAAACTCGCTACAGGTAGTTTACGTTCCGAAAGGATAGAAAGCATTCGGAAGTCGCAGTTAACCTCCATCATCTGGATCTACACACCTGGGCACTCAGGAGTAATGGTAACGGAAGAGTTGACCAGCTGGCAAGTAATGCCCCTATGCAAACAAGAAGAAGCATGGACAGAGCTGATGTCATCAACGCGGTAACACTAGGTAGGCTGAGAAAGAGGGGGGGGGGGGGGTACTGGCAAATTTCTGACGCTAACACGACTGTGCGACCGAGGAGTTAAACTTTATAAAGCACTTCTATGCCGTCGGGAGATATTATAACCAGCTTCTCATGGGAATAATCAGTCGAGATACATAGTAGTGGCTGCTGCATCTGAGGATTGAGCACGCATGAGAAAACCAGTGTGCAAACACGTTGAATCGGATAACATAATAATATTCACTAAGTTTTCGTAATTGGCAAGCATATAATCATTATCAAGTGTCTTACCGACTGGCATAGGCGATCATGACTCTCCACGATCTGCAGCTGCGTGTATTGAACTACCTTACCCAACCCCCCTTTCCGCCATCATAAAAGGGTTTCAAGCGTCTTCTCTGCGTTGTTTTACGTTACCTCTCTTTCTACAGATCTTTCCAGTGGTCACGGCATCTTCCAGTTTTATTCTTCTTATAATATGGCCAGGCTATTCCGACTGCCTCTTTCTGGTGTTTGTGAGAAGTTGTCTTCGAGCACCCACCTCTTTCAAAACATCTAGGTTGCTCTTTTTGACTGTTCGTTGAATTCTAAGGATTCTTCCGTAAAATCCACATTTCCAAGACCCCAAGAAATTGTTTGGCATCTTAATTAATTGTCCGCGATTCACAGCCACATGCTAAACTAGCTCTATTATCTATATATAGCAAGGCCCTTCATTTTATAACATTCAAACAAGGATGATCATTGTCAAGTGCCTTGCCGACTGGCGTGGGTGATCATACTCCATAATTTGCCGTCCGCAACTGCGTATATCAGTTCGTGTGTTGACACCCCTACATGCCATTACATGCTGACAAATAAAGTGCCGTCTCCACGGTGAAAGTTGTCTGCAACTGATCTTCCGCACGCTTGTCTTCTGCCCTGGTTGTACACTCTCTCAGACTGCTACCCGTCCATCTCTTGATGTTGTCCTCCCATTTGTATCGTTGCCCATCTCTTGCTCGTTTACCATCGCCCTTTTCCCTCTAGTATGGTTTTTAAAAGCGTGTTTTGTCTCGGTAGCCACCGTCGGTAAACCCAGGACCTGTCGCATGGTGTGGCAGTAGGTGTCGTTTGTGCCGCCGAATATGAATCTAATGGCCTCATTTTGTGCTCGGTCTTATCTTTCTAGCTGGGTTCTGTGGGCAGTGAGGAGGTCCAGACCTGACAGGCCGTGCTGCTGACGTCACCGTGTCGGGCTAACGATGTGTTAACGCAGCGGTTCTAAAACTGGGTGCCAAGGCACACAGGGGCACCGTGAGCGTAGGCTAGGGGTACGGCGGCAACAATAAAAAAAAAAGTCTGCTAAAATTGTGAAATTATTAAAGAAGTCATGTAGATACTTAAAAGTTAACATTTCAGTTGTCTTCTCTCGCCAGTTAAAAAAAAAAGTATATTTCTTGCTTGAGAACCGCTAGTACTACCGATGGTTTGCCCGACCTGGTGACGTCAGCAGCACGGCCCGCCCAGACGAGGCTTCAAACAATCCCCATATAAAGAATGATTTAACCTGGTTTGTTGAACATGATAGCATTGTGTAAACTACTACTGCTACAACTACACGTTTTTAGACTGACATAATTTCGTGACACACTAATGCAGTCTATTAACAAACCAAAGTTTAAACGTACTCCTTAGAGAAGATAGGGACACACAGATAAAATGTCTAAACAAACTATTTTACCGCGCAACCATTTTCGTAAAAAAATTTAATTTCTATTTAAATATATAATATTTTCAAGAATAATGTAATCATTGTGATTTATGACAACACACAACTGAACAACAATCAACTAAATGTTGCATGCCAATTTTGTTAAACCCATTAGGTTCGCGCGACACATCTCAGTACTGCCACCGACACTTATTGTGTCATAACGCACAGTTTTGAAAGCTCTGCTTTAACGGTGCAGAGTTAACTGATTATCTACTATTTTCGCAGTTGTTGGTTTATCAGTTTATCAGACCGTCCGGAAATTCAAAGTTTTTTTTAAGAAGGAAGAAAAAATGTGCAACTTCTCTTTATTTCGTTACCAACAAGTGCAATAAACTATTATTACTTCTGTTACTGTATTGTATCAATTAAAAAAGCGCCGCAAGTTTTTTAGAAACTGATGTTATCGGACTCGATAAAGAGATACAGGCTAGAGTTCAAAAAGCTAATGCAGTCAACTACCAACTGGCCCCACCTCTTCGTCATCCAAAAATCTCGTTACCAGCCAAACAAAAACGGATGATCACAGCATTTTCATCCACTACGTTATGTTATTCAGTGCCAAACGTGGGACAATGAACAAATCACATAATGCAAAAAATAACTACGTGTGAAATGCGATGTCTCCGAAGAGTCCACCAACAATACACGAAGAGAACAGAGTCACAACATCGTCAGCATTAGAGACAAAGTTGGAACAAGAGCATGCATGGAACATTTTTAAAGACAGAGAATGAAACGTGGTTTGGTCATTTAGTAAGAAAGCATTTTTTGGATCTGATTGCCTTTAAGGCCCTTCTTACAATAGAACCTCGGGAAGACTGGCTTAGACTTTTCTAAGACCCAGGAAACAATGGATAGATGGAGTAGCTGAATTACACCAGAAGATCCAGAAAAAAACTGTCACTCAAATCACGACGAGACAGCACAACGACAAAACATTTTAAACCACGACACTGGGCTGGCCCCCACCCGGTAAAAGTGAAGTCTGACCATAGATAGATAGATAGATGTTACGGTGTACCAGGGTTGCCATATTGGCACGTTTTTATGCCAGATTCCGCAAATCTGGCATATTTTTGAAACTGAAACTGGCATAAGATAATGAACTGGCATATTTGACATATTTGGGGTTTTCCTTGCCTTTCTTTTCAAAATGTGCTCACATTTGCTTCATTTATTCCTCCGTTAGAACACGCAGATTTGCTTAAAGCAATTTAGCATCTACAATTAACATCTTCATTTCAGTTTGACTTTTGTTGTGATGTCCTAGTACGGACTAACGCAGATTTAATTGTATTTGTTATCTTCCTAAAAACGGCATCGTGACTTTGATAAAACGAAGGCCCTCTGTAATTTATGTTAACAACTAGAATAAATGCTGGATATAACACCAAAACCCACCACTGATATCAAGTGATTCAAACTGTTCAGAAACTACTTGAGAACAGAAAATAGGATATAGTTCTATCTTTGATATATTTTATTACTCTTACCAATGGCCACGTCATCAAAAAAATGGAAAGCATCTTAAGACATCGCAAGTAGAATAGTAACTGGAAAAAAACCTACCCACGGCTCAAAAGATCTTCAGACGGATCATAGGCAGCCTATTGTAAACTGTGTCAGTGTACTGGTGCACAAAGAATGAGTAGCATATTAAATCATAAAAAATCTGATGAACACAGGATGAAAACTCTGTCAGAAAGCCACTCACAATTTATTACAACAATGACTCCTAGGCAAGGTAATGATAAAGTTAAAGGCAGCAGAGTTGCAACTTGCTGTAAGCATGACCTGCCATTGTGCAATATGCACAATTGATCATCTAAGTGAAATCATGAGAGGGCATGGTCAGGGGAGTACATTGGAGCACATACAGTTGCATAGAACTAAATGTTTATGCTTAATAAAAAATATGTTATCGCCTGCACTTAAGGGTGACCTTATTGGTGATTTTCAGAACAAGAAATATTCCATTATTATAGATGAGTTGCAAAAACTTCATCCCATCTGAGAAAATGCTTAAAGATTTTAAATCCGAAAAGGTTAACGCTGTGTCTTTCACTTGTTCCAGTGAAGATGACAGTGAAGAATTCAGTCTAGAGCTTTTAATTGAAGCCAGTACAATGTTACATTTTATTTTGCATTTTAATGCACATTTTGAGTAATGGTTTGTCATAAAATGAAGTTTTTCATCTGGCAACCCTGCGGTGTACAGGTGGCTAACTGAAACCGAAAGACATTGCTTCTCTCTGTCACAGCCATCTCATCTCACTCCAGACGTGCGTGGTTTAAAAAAAAAATAAACCTGGACGCTTTGACGGCATGACGCCTCGAAAGGCTCACAGGTGATTAAGATGGGGAGGGGTGTGTGTGTGTGGGAGGGGGGGGGGGGGTTAAATTGCAAATTGATCTCACGGGCGCTGCAACATCGGAGCTCAGGTTCTTTGAGCGCCCCGACCCGTCAATATTTTTTTTTTAGGACAGAGCCCATTTCACGATGTAATGACATTCTCTGGGTAAGTATTTTTTGGTCCTGTTCACGTTTCTCGG